TATAATGTAAGAAAAATAGGGAAAAAAGAATTATATAAAAAAATAATAAAAAATAAAATGATTTCACAATATGATTTCAAACTGGTTTGTCACATCAATGATATATTAATAAAATAAAATTCACATTTGTATCACTTTTTTTAAAAATTCTTTTCATGTCATTGATTCCATAAATTCATTTTATTTTTTTATCCTTTATATCATTACCCATAAAAAAAAATACTTATATTTTTTTGAGAGCATCCGATGTAAGAAAATAGAAAAGAAAGAATTAGAAAAAAAAAATCACTTTTCTTACAATTTTTTTTCTATATCCCACTAACTCACTTTTTTTTTACTATTCCCTCACTTCATTTCTAATAGTTTTAATTTAACTTTTTATTTTTCAAATATAAATTTTAAATAAAAATTTAATAGTTTATACAAATTCTTAATAATCCCATCCCTCACCCAATCCGTATCTGCGGACAAGATTATTTTCCCTGTCTGATGGTTGTTTGTTTCCGTCTCTGGATAAAATCCTCTTTTTAAAAAAGAAAATTCAACCCATTTTCTATTTGAAAAATGATTTTGAAACGATTTTTTTTATTATTTTTCTTTGTACTAACTTTCGATAAAAAAAAATCACATACGTTAACTTATTCGGAGTCCAGCTGAATCAAACCTCATGAGAAAAATTCTTACAAACGTATATTTTTTTATTCATAAAATTTAAATTTAAAATTTTACTTGAAAAAAATTAAAATTTTTTTACTCAAATTAATAAATTGTTAATTTTTATATTATTTTTTAATACAACTTGATATATCATTTAAATAATTAATTTTTTTAATTTATATAAAATTTATTATATTTATTTAATATTATAAAATAATTATAAATTTATAATTTTATAAAATATTATAATTTTAAAATTATTGATTTTTATTTTATTAAATAAATATTTAATTATTATTTGTATAACATATTAAATTTTTATTTAAAATTTATACCTAAAAAATTCAAAAAATCAAAATAGAACCATTAAAAATGAAACTGAAAGAATAGTAGTTTATCAATTTTACGCCAGTAGTATGTTCATATTTAAAAAATTTTAAAATTCTTAATAATCCCATCCCTCACCCAATCCGTATCTGCGGACAAGATTATTTTCCCTGTC